TCAAGCGCTGTGTATCTCAACCGTTCAAATCAAACCTGACCTTCACTATCCAGACGAACCGCTCCGACGGTGTTTTCGATTGTCGCAAGAATTTCGATACCGGCAAAACCTACCTTAGATTGAGGACCAACCGTACCGAACTCTTTGGCTACAACAAGGACAAAGAGGTCAAGATAGTGACTCACGGCTGCACATCTGTCAACAGCAACGCCAGCTGTGTCTTCATGATTGACAAGCCGTTGAATTTGGCCTGGTTTTCGCATGACGATGATTTCCTCCATGTCCACATTGGCTGGTTCAGTGTGGCCATTGGAGTGCTTTTCGGTGTTCTCCTCGTAGGAACATTGTTCACATCAATTATGGTGTTCCTTGGAAATCGACCCAGACAGCAGCCCAAGCCGTTGAGTTCACCTACTGGATTCCCCATGCCGCCTGGCTCGACATTTATGCGTGTGACGTCAGACGAAGACACCAACGCCGGCTACGACAATGGTTACGAAAGTGATGACGATCTCAACAGAAACGAAACCGAATCGTTATTACTGGCATCAGGACTCAGAAAGAAAGGACGCCGCGGGTACGGCACTATCAGAGAAGACATCTCCAGTTCGAGTCCTAGCCAGCGGCCCAAACCGATTCCGGCATCGGCCCCGAGAACCATCAAAGCCAATAGGCTGTCTTTTACGAGAGATAGAAACCTCCCACCGGTGTAACTGTGGAGTTGAAAACCGTTGATAACGCTCAGGCCTGCGTGTAGCCGCACGTAACCAGTGGGGCATTAAAAATCGCAATCTCGCGTAACCAACTACTACTTTTTCAACTGACTAATCACAGAGACAATGTCGGAACCTGTTCAATTGGATCAGCAGGCCAATGTCACGCGAGACGATGCCATGCAAGAGGACATTGATATCGATAACTACGAGCAGCAACAGGGCGATGAACTACAAGCAGAGCAAGGTAAACAGCTCTCGCCTGAAGAGAAGTTACAGCAGACAGAAAAAGAAGCTGATGCTTTGAATGAGCTTAATGCACAGGCCGGAGCTGCTCTTCGTTCAAACGATCCTGAGGGAGCTGAGAAGGCTGCTGTTCAGGCTGAAATCGATTCCAGGTCAGTGTACATTGGCAATGTGGACTACGGCACGGTGCCTATGGAGTTGCAGCTGCATTTCGCCTCGTGCGGCGTGGTGGAAAGATTGACCATCCAAACGAACAAGATCACAGGACAGCCCAAAGGTTTCGCCTACTTGGAGTTTGAAACGGCCGAAGGTGCCCACAAGGCCGTTGCGACGCAAGACGGCTCTGAATTTCGTGGCAGACCGCTTAAAGTGAGTTTGAAGAGAACCAACGTGCCATCTTTCGTGAGGGGCCGTGGCAGAGGCCGTGGATTCCGTGGAAGAGGAAACTTCAGAGGTCGTGGTCGTGGATTCCGTGGCGGCGGCGGCTTCCGTGGTAGCAGATTCAACCCGTACTAGGTTGCAGAAGCGAGGACCAAGATGTTGGTGGGCCAGCGCAGATCGCAAATAAAGGTTAGACGAAAACCGCTGACAAAGTCAGTCTGAAGGACAATACACGTTAGGGAAAGAGACACGAACTCTTCGCTATAGTTCTCTATTAACGATGGGGTGGTTGCGTCGCTTAGATATACGATCCCAGCTCACGCCATAGCCCCATAGCCGTAAAGAAGACGAATTGTAATATATGCACATACACCGAGATCAAACCCTAGGTCACATCATGAAATTTTTCAATCTCTTGATGTCTGTAAATCCATTTAGCTGTTGGTCTGCTTCACTAGGTCGGAAACCTCAGCCACACCATCGTGAGCCAAACCCGCCACAACGCCGTCGATGTTCTCCTGGGCCATTTTCTGCTCAAACTTGTATTTACACTCTGTTTCACAAATCTCGATCTCAAGCCCCGTGATGGCCTTCTGCATGATCTTGAGGTACCCTTCAGGAGCATCCGTCACCTTCCAGGGCTTTTCCCGGGTCGACTCGTTCTGGTTGGTGAAGTTCACCAACTGCTGCCTGACAAAGTCAAAGTCATCCACAATTCTGGATTTTCCGTACACATGGAGCGAGGCAAAGTCCCATGTGGGGACGAACTTGTGGGTCTTTTGCTTTTCCGGATAGTACGAAGGCGATATGTAGGAGTCTGGCGACTGGAAGATCACCAAGACGTGATCGTTTTCCTGGAGCAGCGGGATCTGGTGGTTCTTCCTCGCCAAGTGTGCTTGAAGATAGCGTTTTCCGGTTTCCTTATCGATGTGGAGAAAGAACGGAATATGGTTGGCGATGATCTTCTGGTCAAAAGTGACCAAAGTGCCGAGCGGGTGGTGCACGATAAGCAGCTCCTTCTGGTCCCAGCGGTCCTCGTTGTAATGGTTTGGGATGTACATGAAGAAAGTGGTAGGAAATGGTTGCAAAAGGATGATGTACTGATAAGCGCGGGTCCGCTATCTGTGAGTCAGTCCAATGGGGAGGGGTGTTTTAGTAACGAGTGGGAGATGTGGGTGGGGGTACAATAGAGGGAAGTTGAGTTTTTAAGGTGGGCTTGTTTTGGGGAGTTGGTATTTTGGAGGTTGGGGCTGTTTTGGCGGTTTTGGGTTTATGGATTGGCTGGTGTGGGCTGATTATGGGATCTGGGTTTCGCAGCCAAAGCCGCTAAGGAGGGTGGTCAGATGGGTGACCAGGTGGGTGACCAGGTGGGTGACCAGGTGGGTGACCAGGTGGGTAAAGAAGTCAATTGGGTGGTGAGTCAGAGAATGGGCCGTAAAATGTTGATTCTATGGGTTTTAAGGTGATTTAAGTTTAGTTGGTGGTTTTGTTGCATTGGTAGTGTAAGCCATAGATAGGGAGATAGGATTGTAGGGAGGCCTATTAGCATTATTGTAGGGAGATCGATCTGGTCGGAAATACTTGATTTGATTCTCGGAACGACGGTGTTGATGGACGAAGAGAATAAAATTGAAAGGTGGGAAGAAATTACATGGAGAAATCATCACAGTACTGGACCTCTTGTTGGTACACTAGCAGTAGTGAATCCACAGGATCTAGAAGCCATATTGACAAAAATCCAATTCTGCGTAAATGCTCTTCAATAAAATTCAAAAAGCAACTACAAATCGGCTCCAACAAACCCTTTTACCTTCCATGCTTCGTGATAGTTACCTCACCATCGGATGCACTGAAAAATCCACCCTCGTCAAATCCACCCTCATCGAATCCACCTCGGTGAACCACAAATGTCCAATACCCAAACCTCCACTTCAATTCCTTTCCCATAATCCCTGAACATCAAACCCCCTCTTCTTCCAAAACCACCCCCAGACCAATTAGGCAATCGGATACGCCACTCGCTTATCTTATCACAGTGCGCACCTTGAAGCTGCAACTATGAACCAGACTGTTTTGGTGACTGGAGCCTCGGGCTTTATAGCACAGCACATTGTGAAGCAATTGGTGAAGGAGGGGTACAAGGTGGTTGGCACTGTTCGTCTGGCGGCCAAGGGAGACAGATTGAAGAAAAACGTGGAGGCTTTGGGTGGCTCTTTTGAGTACGAGTTGGTTCCAGATATCAGCGAAGCCAACGCGTTTGACGCTGTTTTTGAAAAGCATCAGAACTTGGATGTTGTTCTTCATACGGCATCGCCGTTTTTCTACGATACGGAGGATCCCGAGCACGATTTGGTGATTCCAGCGATCAGAGGCACCGAAAGCGTGTTTGAGGCGATTCTGAAGCAGATTCAAGCTGGAAACGAGAGTATTCAGAGAGTGGTGATCACGTCAAGCGATGCAGCGTTGTATTCGGCCGAAGGCGAACAAACTACAGGGTTGAGCTTTGACGAATCGTCGTGGAACACCATCACCTACGAGGAGGCCATCAAGGACCCCATCAGCGCCTACTACGGAGCCAAGACGTTTGCGGAAAGGACAGCGTGGAAGTATGCAAAAACCGACCGTTTCCCTCCGACCACCGCTATCAATCCCGTCTACGTTTTCGGACCTCAAGCCTTCGACAACGAGGCAGAGGGCAAGTTGAACACGTCCAACGAGATGATCCGTGGATTGCTTACGTTGAAGGAGGGCGACGATTGGTCAAACGACACCGGCGGGTTTATCGACGTGAGAGACGTTGCCAGGGCGCATTTGCTTGCATTCCAGAAAGACGACACTCCCGGAAAGAGGCTCTACATGACCAACGGCAACTTCAGCGTCCAGATGATGCTTGACGCTATACACAAGAAGTTTCCGGGTTTGGCAATTCCAAAGGGCAAACCAGGCAATGGGCCGCAGGACGTTGCACACATGGCTGAGAAGAGAAACGGCACAACCCGGGATTTGCTTCAGTTCGACTTTGTGCCCTTTGAGAAGGTCATTGTGGACACTGTGAAGCAGATCCAGGAGAACTCGAGGACTTAGGGGCACTCGAGGATTTACATTCTCGAGGGATTAGGAGGATAGGAAGATATAGATAGGCCCCTGTGAGCCGTAGAATAGGGTCAATGTTGGAGAGGTAGTGGGCGGCACCAGTGTACGAGGCTCTCCATCAGAGTATAGATGTACTTCTGTTCGAATCAGTTGATAGTGGGCTTTGAAGGACTCTTAAGATCCGTCTCTGTTGGTGCAACTCTCATGAACAGATCCACCGAGGAGCCCAAGGCTGTTGAAGACGTCCGGACGCTGCCAATTGTTACAAATGTAAAAAATTCCATGTTACAGAGTATCGCCTTTTGGTCTACTATCTGAGACAACTCCCTGACGCTTCTGAAACTGGCTATAAACCGCCATACGAGCTGAACCTAGATGCACGAGCTAGAGCCCCATTTTGAAAAAGCAGGTTCCTTTGCTTTTGAAGCTTTGGTCCAAAGTAGCCACGGACGACATTTATGACTGAGACATTGGTGGTACTCGAGGAGGCATGACGCGATTTCAGTGTTTTTTGCAGCCAACCCCAGAGGCGCTCCCCCCTTACTACTCTCTTTTTCCACAACAATCATGAATATCAGATATTCCAAATTGATGCCGCCCCGAGAGCCCGAAAAATCGACTATCGATAAACTGACATACGTCGCTTGTGTTGTCCATGTTGTTTGGAGGTTGGCGATCCTTGCCTTCCTTGGCTGGTTGGCATTTTCCTCTACCTCGACTCTGGCTCTGAATCTGAATGACCTGGTCTCCCAACAAGGAACTAGCACCAGTGTAAGTACTCACTCTCTCACAAACCAACAAATTTCGACCGACAACTTCATTTCCTTCGCAAAAGCCACTAATCTGGGCACGGAGTATCTGAGCTCTACTTCCGAATCAACGCCCCCTGTTCCGAAACTTCCTTTGGCGCAGGTCATGAAGAGTATCCAAGAGACGTTGACACTTGACAACTCACAATTTGGAAAGTATATTCTTCCTACTTCCCTCTCAATTTTTGTCCACTACGTCCTTGACGGCTTCGCGTTGGAGTCCTGTTACAATAGAAGCGCACACGCCAAGTTCCTCCTTTACGGATATCACTTTACTTGGATTGAGATGATTGTTGTGTCAGTGTTTATTGCTGCAGGTTGTAAGTCTTCGCCAGGAGTCTCTATGTACTCTGCCTTCCTTTTTTATTTGTGCTTCATGAACTTCAACTACCACATGGCTGCAGCCGAAACCGTCGCGCGTACTCCCGCCGAAGGCTCTAAACTTGATGAAGAAGGGAAGGTTGGCGACAATCCTGATTCTGACGACACGGCTTCAAACAACAAATCTGGTCCACGTGGCGACATTGTGACCATTCATGAGCAGAATAATTATCACTTCAACCAACATTTCCATCCTCCATGGGAACATGCTCGTCCACGCGTTGCACCTTTCGCTCCGGGAACTTCAGCACCATCAGGCCAGGGCACGTCTCAAGGAAACGCCTCCACCGCATCCCCTGAAGCGGCCACCGGTGCATCTGAAACGATTCAAGACGATGGAAGTCATGAATCGTATGAGAGGTTTGGAGGAAGAGTCACTTCACCCAACCAGGCCCCTCAGCAAAACTCAACATGAAAATCCTCAACTCAAGAGTACCTCGTTGTCATTGTGGGATGTCAACTCTATGGTACGAAAATCATCTCATGTTGAAGCTTGGCAGGTTCTTTAAAACTCATTGACTGCCTCTAATAAGAAATCAACTTCACGGCACAATTCCATCATCATTGAGTTAAGTTCACCTCCAAGATTTCCTAATGTCGACACAAAAATAGAATTCAGTTGAGCGAACATCAGCGCTTGTCCAACGAAAGGACCGGAGGCCCCCTGAAATACCCTTTTCGTTCCTTCACTGAAGGTTGCAAAGGAACTGCAGCTTCCGTTATCTAGTTAATATAAGTTTTTTCGTGTCCTTCTTTTCTCACTAGGCGGTAACACTCATTGATGCCCATGAGGACTTCAATGCTCTCCGAGAAGTTACAATCAATCCTCTTCATACAGCCATCAGAACCCACTGTAGTTCCATGTGCCTCTATGCTAACATTAAGTTTGTAGCCCTTGTGGAAATAGTGGGAGAAAGTGGAGGGCAAGACATTCGGGATCTTGCAGCCTTCGAGTAATCCTTCAAACAAGAAACTCTTCTGCCCGTTTTCGTCAATCTCTCGGAAACTCACATGTTTACCATTTTCGCTATGCAACTTATATTCTTTGTGAATGGCTTCTCTGCAATTCTTGTTGAGCTTCACAGTCTGCTGACCAAGAATAACTTCAAGATTGCTGAAGTAAATGGAAACAAAGGAACGGCAACTTGAAATGAATTTGAAGGTGATTGTTGAATCGAGAGTCATTCCTGGGCCAGCCATAAGTGCTCCTCGATAATCAGACATGAAGGAATAGCGACCCTGTCTGGAACCGTATGAGTTTGAGAACCGGAATTTATCAAAAACATTCACGAACCTGGAAACTTGAAACATTCGTCCCGGAATACCAGCAATTGAAGTGGTCAACTTTGCAGCATTGACCGTCCAAACCCCTTTTCTCGGATATAACGCTAGAACTTCACTTGACTCGATCTCTTTCACCTTTCTTTCACTTTGCATGTCATAGCAGTCGGTGGTATGTAAGGTGGCTATTACCAAAGCCTTATCGCCTTCGACAACAGAGGAAAGATGAAAACTAATCATGTCCAACGACATCTCGTCTCGCGTTTTGAAGCAATATCGAATAGCATTTTCCCCGAGATTGGAGTTCAAGGGAAAATTTTTAACTAGCACCACATCTTGTTTCTTATGAACTTGAAGAATGGGCTCGGACAGACCAACCTCTGTAGCAACTGCAATTTCCATGACAGTGAAAATCCGCTGGGTACACTTCTTTGATGCACATTCCAAATCGATATTGAATCGAATAGAATAACTCCTAGTGCATTTGTTCGAACTGTAGGTGGGCCCAATATTTGGAAGGTTGCAATTGTACATTGACACTTCAGGAAAATAGAAAAATCCAGTGCCGATATTCTTGAAGTCAGTGTGGGAGATGGAATAGTTGATGCTTGAGTCTTTCAAGACCACTGTTCGAACTTCCTCGGATACACGGCACCCCTTCAGCTCTAGGTGCTGATATCTAAGATGCTCCTCTAGAATAATGGTGATTTGTTTTATGAAGACGTCACCTTTACAGGAACAGAAAAACGTGTTGGTCAGCTTGAGCTCGAGTTGAACAAAGTGTTTTAAACATGAACCACTTTTCACCATATTTCCAGGCAGTATTAGCTCATACTGTTCAGGCGGCTTGTATGTCGCCAAAAGATCCACTTCGATGGACTTTTCCACCGTTACATCAACGAAAGCTTCTGGTGCATACAGCGTATCCAGCGTATTGAGTGAGCTTCTGGTTCTTATTGGAGTCACACCAACATCAAGGGGAACAAGGTCGTCTCTGATCTGAAGGCAGCGGATGCCTACAAGAGAATTCTTCTTCAAGTCTTTTGTAGGAGGATGGTGGTCGATAAGAAGCTGGTTCATTCTGGTAAAACAATACACGATCCTCCCTCTGCCATCCGTCCAGTCTGGCCATTTGCCGAACTTCAGTATGCCTTCGCTCTTCTTCATCTCTTCAAGAGCATCTTGAGGAACTGCTGAAATCTCACGAAGGTTTAATGTGCTCACCGACCAACCTTCTCCGTCTATCTTACATGTAAAAGTCTCGTGTGAAACGTAGTTTGAAGGGCGATCATCTACCTCAGAAAGAATTGCAAGGTTAATGCCGTTGAAGATTCTTTCTCTTTCAATGATGTGTAAGCTTGTCGAGTTCATTGGTACAAATTCTGGGGAATCAAGCTGGGGCAACTATTGTCAGCCTTATATCGTAAATGAGCTCCGTGGTCATGCAAGCAAAAGCATTAGTGATATTTTCTTGCACCTTTCACATCATTCCGAGGCTTCCTGCAATGTGTAATATAATAACTACTCTAGCAGCTCACAGTATGCTCATTTCAAAGGGTCGGTAGTAGTCTCACAGAAAGTAGGCCAAACTTTGCTCGAGGTGTATTCAAAGAGATTCAAAAGAGACTATAAATTCTTTATTCATGGTCTCCTGTGTTTCTTCCACAAGAGTTGCCCTATGGTGTTTGCATGACAATGCATACATTTTCAATTTCGTACTGAAGAAACACAGCTGAATGGAAAAGTGACGTTTGAAAGAGAGAGATTAGCATATTTGCCGTTTTTTCGATTTCTGGTTGGGTGAAATGATGGCGCTTTGTTTACAAATCTACATTTTTCTCAACATTTTGCACCCAGTATCCATTGCTGTTTCTGAATTTGATATTACAGCCAAATACAATCATGTCAAAAAAAGCAATTCGAGTAAGCAAAGAGTACTAGCGACAAACGCAAAAACTACAGAGCTTTCAGAAACTTGCTTATACATGCATTTCACAGAATGATAACATGCGATATGAGAAGGATGGATCTCAAACCTCACCAACATACATGCCCATCCACAAAATCCATCAGATTCCCCTCCACACCAACTATATGAACATTATCCCAAAAAAGCCTTTTACATCCCTCTTTTAAACCAAACTCTACCGCAATGCTGATTCTCCTACATGTAACCAGCCCATCTGGATTGGAAGAGTCTATAGAGCTTATTGACGAATGCAGTATATTTCAGGAATGGCTACTACGGCAACTTCAACATACTCATCTAGCTTAACCTAAACCGCTTATCACCACATCCATCTCCAAAAGGTGGACTACGAATATTCAGTAAACCACGTACCTCCTCCATCAACCACTTTTCTGCCCGAAACTTCTACCTCTCGACCAATCGGAGAATAACCGTTTCTTCGACGGAGTTGTCAGTTCGGAAGAAACTGTTTTCCACCAATCAGGACTACAAAAAAACGCTTATGTCATTATTTTTTACCGGTATGCCTCGATGGCGCACTGGCTGCAAAATGCCTGCGATCTAGTGAATCTTTCTCGCATGCAGAAGTAGCACATCTCGAGCTCGAGGTATCCCTTAAGTAGAATGGCCCAAAGTAGAAATTGACGAGAAACTCCGAACCAAAGAAAGCTTGGAAGACCTCCTTTTAGATGTTTTGTGCCTTTGTCTGACTCTGATTGTTTTGGTTCAACTGCGGGGTTGGACCAATTAGAGAAGGCGCTTTGTCAGCTTGGAATTTTGGCCGCTTACAAACGGAGCCACACACTGCTTATCCACAGTGAAGAGGCCAGGCATGGGATCGGGAGGTACGGGTGTGTCAGCCGTTATCAGGGTAGCATTGGGAATGCTCGCGGCTTACATACAGGAATCCTTATACTCCGAGTTCGGGCATATGTATTTTGTCAGCTTGGAGACGGCCAAGGAGCCCCTTTTTTCAAGTATGCCAAAAAACGCAGCGTTTAGACTACCCCCATGTGCTGCGATGTCGTGAAAAATGCCTGTGTGGGGAAACCCTATTATGACTATATGCAGGCCGAGTATAAGCGGACCAATCACAGCTCGTTTGTTTGTCAGCGCATACTGACAGGCGCGGTGCCAGAGTTCCTAAGACACTATCTGGGATGCACCCGGGGCTGTTTATGCAGTACGGCAGCAGCCCAGTGCCTGAACGTTGCTTCTATATAAGTTTGCGCAACCCCCAAAGTCAAAGAAGCGGCGCTATTTAGAAAAAAAAAAAAATCACAACTATCTTTTAATGTTGGTGCAAGCGAAAAAAGCAGTCAGCAAGCTCTTCGAACCTGACCAATCCGACGAGGAGTTGGCCAGAGCTGAGAGACTTTTGGACAACAACCAATCCCCTTACGGTGCCACCAACTCTTCTGACCGTGCACAAGATGTGGCCAACGAAGAGGCTATTGGAAACGCCGTGAAAAGCCACAATCTGCCTGACGACGACGAACTGTCGAGCCACGGCTTCATCTCCAGCTTTGACCCCAGAGTCATGAGTGACATTATCATTGGTCTTTCTGACGGATTGACAGTTCCATTTGCGTTGACCGCAGGTCTTTCGTCGTTGGGCTCCTCCAGAATCGTCATCACAGGTGGTATGGCCGAATTGGTATCGGGAGCCATTTCCATGGGACTTGGAGGCTATCTTGCTGCCAAGTCGGAAGGCGACTACTACAAGTCTGAAGTCAAGAAGGAGAAGCTCGAATTCTTCAAGAAGCCCGAGCTCATCAACCAGGACGCCGCCGAGATCATGTTGGAGCTTGGCGCCTCCGAAACCACCATCGCATCATTCCTCAAGGATTTGGACCTGAGCCCCAAAAACCTCATTGACTTTGTCATTCGCTTTGGCAAGGGCTTGGAAGCCCCCGCCGAGGGCCGTGAGTTCACCAGTGCCTTGACCATTGGCCTGGGCTACTTTTTCGGCGGTTTCGTGCCTTTGATCCCATATTTCTTCACCTCCGTCGTGAGAACGGGGCTCATCATCTCTGTCATTGTCATGCTTATCACCTTGTTCATATTCGGCTACGTCAAGACCATTGTCTCTCTTGGAGAGGACTGTGGCTACCGCCGGAAGATCTTGGAGGGTCTTCAGATGGTGGCCATTGGCTCTGTCGCTGCCGGCGCCGCCTGGACGTTGGTGTATTTCATTGACAACTAACCGCAACGGGAAATGCATTAGGAACCGTGTCTCGCTATGTGTCCTGAGACACTTGTATAGTAGAATAGCAGCATCAGCTGAGTGTGAGAAAAGTGACAAATGTAGGGTAAGCATGCAAGGATATTGATTCCGATGTTTCAACAATATCATCCATGCACTGCCTTCTTCTCTGCATCAGCAGAAGTCTAAAATCGCAAAGCCTCAGTGGCAGCACAATAGGCTAATTCAGAGATGAGCAAAAGAAACAACGTTTTACGGTCACACGATGGGTTTTTTTATCATTTCTGATCTTGTGTAATTTGAAAAGCAGGGTGTATCATGGAATGGCTGCGAACGCGGAATCCAGGGTCGATTTTGGATCACAAAGTCCTCATTTCATAGAACGACTATTGTTAATGCGAGATGAAGGCTGGAGTAACAATACATCGACGATCGAGAGTCTTAGAGGTAATGATTATTCGATGCAATGAAAATCACATACATTCTGCCTCGAGAAAAACTTGTCAATATGGTCAGAGGTTATGAGATTATGAAGCACCAAAGACCAAGTATTAGGGGTATTTACTATATTCTGGCCTATGGAAATACTCTCAGAGATTAAGCTTTAGCCTTGGTAGTCAAGAGCGTAATTACAATACAATGTATGGGCATCTGATACTCCCATTGGTCAAGGCCCAGAATCACATAATGCAATACTAAGACCAATTCAGCCTTCGGAGTAGTCGATAGCAGCCTTTTCCTAAACATTTGAAATTTTGTAGTTCAAAAAACCATGAACTTCTCTGGTGGTGGTGCTTACCGAGATCACAGGGGCCAGACCTCACCTAGTCACTCACTTTCATTTACATCGGAGTGGTCTACCAATAGCCTTCTACAGCAAGTTTCGACCAAAAACTCCATAAAAATCAAAACTTCAAAAAAATCATCAACTTTCGCCGTTGTAGGGCACCTTTCTCGGTGCTACTCTCCGTTCTCGTAAACGCCTTATCTGACGCATGAGTCACTTTACGAAAAAGTGCCACCACCCCTGGAAAACGCCCTAAATCCAGATCCACCGTATTCTAGAAACCCTTTTTCATGCCGCCCGAGGGTTCCAGAAAAAACCCTCTTTTAGTCCTCCTCGGCCAACTTCACCACCATATACCCCTCCTGAGGACTCCCACCAATCCACAAGAACCAGAGTTACAATAAACGATTAAAGTTTTCAAAATTGCTTTAGATGTAAAATTCTAACATTCCTCTCTATACTCATAATACACCAACCTCCCGATCCCGAAAACTACAAACCCGTATCTTATCACCATCGCACTATGTACTCCCTCACTGATCTTTTCACCACCCCACAGAGCTACATACCCGGATCCTTTTCCACACAATACAGCACAGAACCTTAAATACACAGGCTTGGTTCGAAACAAAACCATAATACACCCCGCTTTAACTCAAAACAGCCCTCCCTAAATGTGCCGACAATGACGCTACCGATTCTTCAGACAAATAGCATCTCTTCAGAAGAGGAACATCTACGCCAGCTCCGCCAGAAACTGCTGCTGCAGCTGGCCATAATAGTCGGTTTGGTGGCTGCTGTGGGCGGTTTTTTGTACGGTTACGATACCGGGCTCATCAACGATATCTTGGAAATGCAATACGTGAAAGCCCATATTCCGCTGCAGAAGGGCGAGTTTAGCACCCACGAAAGGGCTCTCATCACGGCGATCTTGCTGTTGGGCACCTTTTTCGGTGCTCTCGTGGCGCCCATGATTTCAGACTCGTACGGCCGGAAACTGTCCATCATCGTATCTCTGGCGATCATTTTCAACATCGGCAACATCCTCCAGGTCTCGGCAACCGACGTGGGGCTCCTATGCGCTGGTAGAGGCGTTTCTGGGCTTTCTGTTGGTATACTTTCTGCTATTGTGCCGTTGTACCAGGCTGAGGCCTCGCCCAAATGGGTCAGAGGTTCCATCGTTTTCACATACCAGTGGGCTATCACATGGGGGCTTCTTCTAGCGCTGGCCATCTGCCAGGGCACGCGACGGCTCCAGAGCTCTGCTAGTTACAGAATCCCGATCGGGATCCAGTTTGCATGGTCGGTGGCTCTTTGCGTGGGTATGCTTTTCCTTCCCGAGAGCCCCCGGTTCTACGTTCAAAAAGACAATCTCCAGCTTGCCCTCAAGAGTCTCAGTAAGCTCCGAC